GTTTTCCTCTCAAAAAAACCCTAAAAATAGGTGAAAAGAAGAGATATTTTCTAGCTGCACCTCTCTGAATGAAAAAAAATGGCCTTTTGAATATCAATCTCAAAGAAAAAACTTTATGAAGAATAGAATGCCAATTTATCTCTTACTGCTGCCGGCTTCATGAAAAGAAGGAACTTGCCTAGAAAACTGATTGCTTTTATGAAGAGCAGAATGCCAACTTGTCTCTTACTTCTGCCGGCCTCAAGAAAAGAAGGAACTTGCCCAGAAAACTGATTGCTACCTTCAGTCTTCAACCTTGATCAATCAACTGCTGTCGGCACCTTGAATCTTGATCAAAGAACCAAGAAAAATCTGATCGGCACCTCCAGTCTTGATCAAAGAACTAATCTTGATCACTCAATTCTTGTCTGATTCTTCCTGATTACAAGGAGCACTCTCCAATCCTTGGACAGGTGCTAAAGCCTTCTTGTAACATCCAAGAATCAGCTGAAAGGAAAGATCTTTCTAAACTACTAACTGTACAGACACAGTGGGGTCCACATCAGTCTTCTCTACAAAAACCACATGACCCTAGAGTTGGTGTTGCCCTAGGGTCTTTTTGCTTATCAACCTCTTGGTTGAGATTTTGGATTGTCTCTAGAGGGTTTTCTCCCTTTTCTCAGTTCGACAGTCCTGAAACCTACCTTATTTGGACTGTCAACACCTTGTATCAGCTGTTAGAGTTTGATTTGATATTTTTTCTAGAGGTTTTTGATTTTTCATGAGGGCGGAACATCTCTGTGGTGCCTTGAACTGAAGTTGATTGAGTTTATTATCTCATTGGATCTGATTTCTCCACTGTTTTCTTCATATATCATCATTTTGGCTTTGTTGTCAGGGGTTTTCTTTTGAGAAACCCCTCTTGTTTAGGTGTTGTGGTATCCACTTCAGTATTTGCACTCTTTCTTGGTTAAGTTGAGTGATTAATCACCTAGAAAAATCCATTTCAGTGCTGTTATTCTTTTGTCTAGACTGCATCTCTTATTCGGAATGGCTGAAAAGGTTGATATCATTGTGGTGAAATTTGATGTAACCAACTACAACATGTGGAAATTTCATTTTGACTTTTTTGTTGAAGGAAAAGGCCTAAAGGGTTATCTCAATGGATAGTTGTTAAACCAGATGAAACGGATATCAAGGCCTTTTCACAATGGAAACTGGACAATGGAACACTAGTTTCCTGGATCCTGAGTTCGATTGTATCTCACATTGCTATACCCATGAGAAGAATGCGAACAGCCTTTGAGATGTATACCTACTTGAAGAAGGTTTACCATCAGTCCGATTTATTAAGATGGTATCAAATTGAATATGAGATTTTTGCTTACTGTCAAGGGGGACAAAAACATACAAGAATACTATGTCGGGACTTATGGGCAGAGTACGAATTGGCTCATATTGACCCCTCGGACTCAGAGTGTGTCAAATATCTTCGAAAACACTTTGAGAAGAGGAAAGTGAACCAGTTCCTTATGAGACTTAGACTTGAATATGGAATAATAACGTCTAATATTTTGAGTGGAGGCACCATTCCAGATTTGGATTCCGTGATGGGAGAGTTACTAAGGGAAGAGATTAGACTTATGACTACTACAAGCATAGATGGAAAATTGATTGATTCCATTTCCAGGGCTGATACAATCTTTATTGCACAAGGGAGTAAAAACTCTCCTGTCAAGGATTTCTTTAAAACTAGTGTTATAAGTGTAAGGGATTTGGGCACATTGCCTCTCATTGTAAGAAGAATTATGTCTGCACCTATTGTCAACAACATGGTCATATTATTCAAGATTGCCCTATTCAGCCATCCAAGGGAACTATGAAGAAGAATCGGCCACGAGCATATCAAGTGATTGAGGGACATGCTACTAATGTATCTGCTGCTAAAGGTGAATCTTTTGCTTCTATGGATGAGGAAAAGATACAACAACTGGTATCCTTTGTATCCCATCTACATTTTCTTCTATTGGCTTATCTGGTGAGTTCTTTGGATACTATACTTCTCTCTCTCTCTCTCTCTCTCATGTTTGGTTAATTGATTCTAAGATCACCAATCATATGACTGGTGCCTACCCTGGACCCTCAAGTAAATTTCCTGAGACCCACTATAAACACATAGTTACTATCAATGGTGAATGGAACATCATTGAGAGTAATGATTTATGCCTCAAGATCTTACCCTTAACTTCCTTTTCCCTTACTAAGACCTTTATTCCCAATTTTACTATTAACCTTGTTTCATTTGGTCAACTTGTTGATGAAAGTCACATTCTGACTTTCCTAATGGTTGTTTTATTCAGGACTAGTGCACTGGGAAGGTGAAAGAGAATGGGTGTAGGTTGGGCCGCTTGTTTGCACTTAGTTAGAGAAATCTTAAACAACAGAATTATCTACTTATTTCAGTTCTTCATTTAGTCCTGTTTTGGGCCAAAGAAATTTTAGAAAATGCTGTATTGTTTATATTTGTAATTTCTCTCTTTTTATTCCTAGATGCCCTAGTATATAATCTAATGATGGCACTGCCAGCACAACTTTTTGGTCTCTCATTCTTTTCTCTCATTTTCTTCTCTCCTCTTCTTGTCCTTCTCTTTTCTTCTTTTCTACTATTCTTTGCAGCATAATATAGTATCAAAGTTGTTTGTTAGCCAAAAAGAACAAAACAGATTGAGTACTACTTTCCTTTTTTGTTGTTTTCTCGGTACATTTACAACCAACAGATTCCTTCCCCCTGGAAAATCTACAATTTCCTAGGTATTGTTCTTATGCAAAGCATCTATCTTATTCATCATAGCATTCCTCTATTTTGGTTTAGATAGGGCTTTTGGGATAAACTTAGGGATTGCATGTGTAGAAATAGAGGAAGGAATAGTAAGTTGGGGAAAGAAGGCTATAGGATAAGTGTTTTGAGATCAAGGTTTAAAATGCCGATGTCGGTGGATATGTCGGTCATCTAAATATAAGAAACATGTCGGAAATATTGTAAAAATTATAGACATGGTAGAAACATTGTAAAATATGCAAAATATAGAATGGTATTTTATGAAATGACAAAAGAAGCATGGGCACACCTTTTTAAATTACTATAGACAAAAGAATACGTTCTGAAATTGCCTTTTAAACCTTAAGCTTTAGAACTTCATGATAGAATTAGTTAAAGCAAAATTTAAACTTATAGAAAATGAAAATGGTTGTAACCGATCAACCAAATAATCAACTACAGAAACAAAAACTATTATTTAACTTCATGTTTGAAATGAATATTGAGCTCGCTCAAAGTTGTAATCATGTAAGTTAGGTGGACAATAACTTGTTATTTCACATATCTACAATATTGTCACCAACTTATTTTATAATACTATCTCTTGTACTCCACATAGTACTGGCAGCGTTCAAAAGGAATATGTCAATTCTAGTAAAATTACATGTTGCTACCCATGGAAGTGAAAATGGAAATATGTCATTGATACTATCTCTTGCACTCCATGTAGGTCTGGTAGTGTTCATTAGGGAAATGTTGGTTCCAATAAAATTTCATGTTACTATCCATGGAAATGGAAATATGTCATGGAAATATTAGCAAAATTAGGGACATTTTAAACCATGTTTGAGATGCAATGGGTTGTACACTTCCGTTTTCCTTTTCTGAGAGCAACTCCAAAAGAACTTATTTTCAACTCCGGAGACATCCATCTTCCTCAAACAACTTCAAATGATAAACAAGGAAGACGGGAAAAAAACAGACACCAAGTACCAACCTCTATGAAGAGAAAAATTCAGTCGCTCCCTGTAGGCTTCATAGAACCACACAAGACTTGGACCTGTCTTCAAGATAAAGAAAGATAACCCCTTCAGTCACTGAGCGTCAAGGTGAAGCTCCCTGTGGGGCCCGTAATCAGAATTCTCCAGTTGATTAGGGTTTTGGGCAAAAAACTCCAAGGATTGTCAGAATAATGAACAAGACAGCTTCCTTTTTTCCGAAAGACCACCACCAATTGGGCTGAATACTTTCTTCAATCACTCATTTGATTCAGCTCTCCATGCACACTGTGTATGGGAAAAAAAGGGAAAAAAGAGAGAAGAAATGAGCCCGCTTTGATACCAAGATGAAAAACAGTCCAAAAGAATGAGAGGACTGATTTAAGTGTGAAAAATAAGGTAGATATCAGCAGCAAGAGAGAAGAAGAAGAGAGAAGAAGAAGAAGAGATCTGCTGTAATAGGGTTTAGGAGAAGTGTTGTTTGAACATCTCTCCCTTCCCTAATCTTTTCATTAAAAATAATTTACAAATTTTCTATAATTACAAGGAGGCCCTTAATTGGGCGATTAACTTAATTAAACAAAAAACATAAAGAAACATAAAGGCCCATTGACAAAGAGGAATAGAAACATAAAGAAATAAGAACAGCCTATGGGCCATTCGGCCCATCCTCTCTACACATTTCACCAGAGAGAGGATAGCAAGTGGAGAGATTTGCCTACCCTCTATAAGGTTAGAAGACCAACTGGCTGATTGTCGCACTAAATTTGCTGAGAACTTAGACAAGTTGGGCATGATTGACATATATTCCCAGCTAGAGGGGGAGTGTTGAGATTGTTTGGGTGTAAGGGTATACTTGTCCTTTTTGTTCTTTTGTATTTTTTTTATTTTATTTTTTTTGTATTTGGACGACCATATGAGGGCTTACTTGTAATTTTAGTATAAATTCTCAAGTTTGAGAGAGTGAACAGTAACTCCCTTCTCCATTCGATTTCTCTCTTTTTATCTTCTCTTCTCCTCTTCTCCTCCTTGTTTTCTTTCTCTATAAAACCTAGATATTGCAACTAAACTAATAAAACGAATGAATTGCTTTCTGCTTATAAGATCTCCTTGGTCCAGCTGCTTAATACTTTGTGTGGTTGATTGCCTTATGCAGTCTGAGATATCAAAGGTTTTACTAACGATTCCTTTTTCTGATTGAACAGTTGTTCAAGGAATCTTCTCTCGATCAAATGTTTTTGACCATATTTTGGGTATTCTTACTGTTGAAGATGTGGCAAAACAATTGAAGAAACCAGGCTTATGGTTGAATGTTCAGGTAAATGATTTTGAATTGTAAGGTGATACACCCTGATATGGAAATTGGATTCTGGAAACAGGGTTACAACTTTTCCTTTCTGGAAACCCATGAAATGGTTTTGGACCCAAGTATCCTATTTGATATGATCGATGACACCAAACTTTATTTCTAACCATTTTTAAGTTATGCATTATTTTCAATACTTTCCAAAATCGAATGCTTTAATTTTATAGATAAAAGTGTCCATGCATTAAATGGTACTGTCTCAGAACATATTTGTCAAGGCAGTAAGGTGAAGTTTGGTAACAAGGTAGGAGGAACCTAGGCAATGGTTTTTGACAAAGAAAGCCCAACAATCCAGCATCTTACAGGATATAATTCCATAAATTTGTCCTTTTTTATTATTTTATATAGAAAATATGATGAAAAATTCACCAACCAGCAAAGTTCTAAGTTTATATACCTGAAATAGTAAGCTAAGGAAAACAATTGAAGAGAACACATTCAGCATTGGTTTTTTGCAACATATAGAACATACCATCAGTTCAGCTTGAAATGAATTAGTGGGTTAGAGTCCCTGTTACAGTGTTTGAGACAGCAAGAGAGAGAGAGAGGGGGAGAGAGATGTACATTAATCCAGTGTTGCATAGACATTGACATGGGAATTAGAATCCAGTGCATGTAGAGGAGTCTGACACAGCAAAATGAAAAAAACATGGATGTAGGGAGATATCCAAAATCTGTATGTACTATCAAAATAATATGCTCATCTTGTAAATTCTGTTATCATAGACCTATATAAGATTGCATATGTAAGTCCAGAAGTTCATCTTTGCTGTTTATGAACATTTTATGAGAGTTCATTGTATTTGACTAGGAAGGATAAAGAGGAAAAAATATGAGAAGTGCTCCTCAAGGTTCCATGGGTGTTGGAATCAGAAACGTGTCTAACAAGGGTGCTGAAATAGTTTAGTTTATTCTGGTTATTTTATTCAGTTTATTTTCTCTTGTTCTGTTTAGAATAACTTAGTTTTTTATTCTGTTTATGTACTGTAAGTGCCTCAGGGGCATAAGAGTCTTTTCCCAAACACTTGCTCTTCTCTTCTCTTCTCCCTTCTCTCTTCTCTCTCTCTCTCTCTCTCTCTCTCTCTCTCTCCCCTCTATTCTTCTTCCTTATTTCTTTTGTATTTTTCTGCTTATATGGTATCAAAGCGGTGCTACTGGGTTTAAGAGCAGATCGAACAAGTGTTTTTTGTTCTTCATCTTGTTCTTTTTCCAGATTGAGGTCAGAAGAAGATAACCTATGACTGATACAATTTTTTTTTACTTCTTCCTTCTCTTGGTTGTGTACCAAGAAAAAATCATATGAACCTGTTGAAGGCATTTTTTAATCCAAATAATATTTAAATAAATTAGAACTCAAATAAGTGGGTTGGCTAGTCTGCTAGCCAAATCATTAAAACTATAAAAAAGTATCCCATGTGGGAGTTCCCTCTCTTTAAGTGGGAGGGACAGGTGTCTTTCACCTAGGAAGAGGAGGTAGTTACATAACTATCCCACTCCCTAATTTTAAGGGGAAGCTAGAAGCATAGACAGAGGAACTCTTCGGAGAAAATTTTCATAAGAGATTCTTAAGAAAAGCAAAGATGAGGAGAGAAGAAAAGAGAAGTGCTCAAGGGAAGGCAGGGAAGGAAAAGTCTCACTAATACAGGTAGAAAAAAGAAAGTCCTCTCTGTGAATACTTCCTATATATGTCTTCTGCTATGTATCCTTCTTCCTCTCTCTTTTATTTTTACTTTTGAGAAAGGAAATAGAGGGAAATAAACCATCTACAACCAAGTGTCTCTACTTGGTTGATTATGGTCCCTCTTTCAAGACAAAGTTAGGGATTAAACCATCTACAGTCTAATTCTCGAAGACTGATTATGGTTCCCTTCTGTAATGCAAGAGTAAACAGAGGAAGAAGAATTTGTTATATTATTCATCAATCTCGTATGTATATATACAAGTTACAAATTCTATGTTAGGAAAG